GGTCGCCAGGTGGGAGCATCGCCTGGCGCTGTCCTCTGCCCTGGAAGCCGGGGGGAGGGTAGCTGAGTCATCCGCCTTGTGATCTGCATTGTTGGAGGAGACTGGGCTGAAAAGTTGGCCTCATCCGCCAACCCTGGCAAGTGGGTCACAAGTCTGACTCAGCGCCCAGATGTCGTCCCTGGCTCCGAGTCCGCGCCTGTGCAGGCCCTGTGAGGAGGGGCGACTCGGGCCTCCGAACCCACTTGCCAGCATGGAGTGGCCCCAGGGAGGACCCCGTGTGGGGGCCTCTTCTTCGCTCTTTGCTCCATGTGCCTTCGGCAGTTTCTCAGTCAAGCCTAGGAAAGGGACTCTGGCTGGTGTGAGAGCAGACAGGAGCCTCAAAAAACCTCTCGGGCTCATTCCCAGTGCCAGTGGTCAGATGCCTGCTCTTGGGGGGTTTCCCATGTGCTGTCCGCACCCTGTCCTTACCCCAGGGCCCTGCCCTACCCAACTGGGGAGCAGCCCACGGAGCTGGGGTGGCTGTGAGTTTGAGGCGTGCCTTGGCTTTGTGGGAAGGCTGAGAAGGCCAGGCTACACCGCAAGGCGTGCAGAACGGGGTTCATGTGGCCCAGTGGCCACACTCGTGTTGGCCGTACGTTACAGCTGGGCATCGGGTGACAGAGCGGGTGTCTGTCTATTTTCCCGCTTCGTGTTAAAGAGGGTCGAGAACTCAGGCTGGATGGTGAGCCTTCTCTCTGTCTCCTCCCTAGGGATCTGGACCATAACGAGATTTCGGGCACAATAGAGGACACGAGTGGCGCCTTTACCGGGCTTGACAGTCTCAGCAAGCTGTGAGTGTCTCGGCGTTGGCCTTTCTGTGGAGGGGGTGCACAGTGCTTCTCAGGCTCCCCCGTGCCGCCTCTTTCGTGGGCCCAGCTGGAGAAGGGCTGGCTCCCATTTATGTTCCTTTGTTTGGGAAGCAAAGTCTGACTAAGAGAGCCAAGATGTCCCAGCTTCTCTGTGGCCAGTGGTCTCATCACTGCCCTGGGCGTTGGTTCCTTTGGGGCCGAAGATCCGGTGTTCAGAGGCCTGTTGGATTTTCTGTCCCGCTGAATTTGTGACTGACCGGGAAACGGCAGAGTTTTTTGTCCTGCTTTGCACAAAGGAGTCTTGCCCTGTTACTCGATTCCTAGAAATTGTGTGAGATGTCTAAAGCCAAGTGCCATCGACGGTTTTGAGTCTTTGGTCAGTACTTCTGTGGTCAGTCATAACGTCACACAGAAACAGTCATTACGACAGGTAATGAAATGACTCGTTTTTATTCCCGGTTTCTGATGTTTTTATTTTTTTTAAGGCTCCTGGAGCTGTCAGTTACTGTGCAAGGCATTTGTGTACATGTGTTGTATCTAACAACCAACAACCTCGTGAGTTAGGCTCTGTTATGCAACCTTTTTTGTCGTTGAGGAAACGCGGGTGCAGGGCCTTTGCCCAAGACCACACGCCGTGGAGGGTCGGGACCGGCCAGTCTGGCTCTGGAGCCCACACTGTTCCCCCTGAGTGGGCCACCGCAGGAGCCTCTGGGACGGGGCAGGGGAGTCCGAGGGAGGGTCCGGGGCAGACAGAAAGAGGCAGTCACCGCTCAACCTCCCCGGGCCTGCTCGGGTGACCGCGAGCTGAGCACAGTACGAGTGTCAAGCAGATACTCTGAAAGCAGCCGCGGGGTGGAAGGTTCCGGAACAGCCTGTCGGGGGTGGGGTGGATGTCTTTCTGTAGAGGTGGTTTTGAAAAGTGTGGTTTTTCACACCATTTATACTCAGAGTTCAGAGTAAGATTAGCTCTCTTGGCTGTCTCAGGATTCTCACTCTTCTCCAGCATGTCTCTGTCTTCCTTTCTCTTCCCTAAAAAAACACCCTCTCCTCCCCACCTCCTAGTCAGTTTGCCCGGCAAGCGCTGGGACGGGACAGCGGCTGTGCCCCTGGGGCGGAGGCCTTGCTCTCCGGGGCCTGCCTGGCCAGGTGTGAGTGTGTGCACAGGGGGCTTGGGGGGGGG